GGAAAAGAACAGTGCACTCACTGGCAACTGGGAGAGAAGAGGAGAGAAATTAGAGTCAGCTCCCTGAATGCATGTTTGGAAATATGGGAAAGAGTGGTATAGATATTTGATTGAGAAGAAAATTGAACTATTCTATTTTTAGATGGGGGCAAGACATTTGAATGAAAGTGACAGAGATAAGGACCTAGATTCAGCAAAGAAGACCAGGTGGCAAAGTAGATTGGGAAATAATTTGCTCAAAGGAGATTACTGAATTATGTAAATAGAAAAGAATTCCAGACTCACACACACACACATCCAAACTATTGAAAAAGAGAAGACAGTGGAGGATGGAACCTTCAAGGGCACTTGTAGTAAAATAAGCAGAGTGATAAAGAACAAAGACAGGAAAAGTCCTGCAGGTCAAGCAGGCATGCACCCACCTAACATCAGTAGTTGATTTGGGGAAAATGTATTAGGAAAAAAACATTATTGCAGGGAACAGTCACTTGTATGTACAATGCTAAAAAGGGATTGGAGCTCCTTGAAAGTACTGTTTTCTCTTTGCCTTTATTTTTATCCCCAGCCCTTAGCACAGTGCCTGGTCCATAGTCACTGCTTAATAAATGCTAGTTGACTGACTGATGATGTCAGTGACCAGTCTGTAGAATAGTGAGGATTTTACAGTACAGGCTGTTTATAGTTATTGCAAAGCCAGGGTAACTTTGCATGGGATTTGAATGGATATAAAATTTTAATTGGCCCTAAAACGAACACCATACACCCTAGAACTTTTGTAAGTTTTTGAACCTTTTTTTAGATGTACTTATTGCTTTGGATCTGAAAATACCACTGAAGGTATTCAAGGGTGGCACCAGTTTTCGTGCACGCTCCTATGTCTCTTAGACCTTCTCTTGGCATATTCAGTAGCCCACCTTCTAGAAATGGAATATCAATGGAGTGTTAGTGGCATGGCACTTGGAGACTTGTGGCCTGAGGCAGAGAGAGAGAGAGAGAGAGAGAGTGTGTGTGAGTGAGTTTGAAACTGTGAGTTAGTGCATGAGGTTGTAGGTGGTTTGGGACCAGAACCACGGAGAGTTGGAGTTGCCTCTAGGATAATCCTGGATTTAGGAAGTGAAGGGAGAATGAGAATGGGGGAGTAGTAGCAGGCTTCCTCAGTCTTTGTGGCTGGTGTTGTCATAGTGGATGCATGTTGGCTCCTAGTGCCAAACTATCTCACCCTGCCCCCAGCCTTGAGTATTGCCATGTTTGAATAGCAAGCTTTAAACTAGCAGTTCCATCACCTACTTAAAACTAGCAATTCCAGTACCCAAATCAAGTACCATAAAATTGCAGTATTGGCCAGCAACATTAAAGGTACTCTGAAACTCTTGAAAAAATTTTATTGAAGTATTTTCATCACATTTATTTCCAAATATATCACTTCCCCTGTCTTATGCAGAGAGCTCTTTCTTTTAAGAAAGAATTTTAAAAGGCAAGTGTGGTGGTACAAACCTATATTCCTCCCTGCCAAGGAGCTGGAGGCTAACAGATCTCTTGAGGACAAGAGTTTTGAGCTGCCATGACCTATACCAATGGAGTGTCTATACCAAATAGATAGCAATAGCGTTATGACCCTTTGGGAGCTGGAGTTCACCAGGTTGCCTAGGGAGGAGAGAACCTGCCTCAGTCATAAATGAAGCGTTCCCATACAAATAATGAAGGTCAATGTTCCCATATAGATAAGTGGTAAGATTGGCCTGTGAGTAACCCCTGTACTTCCAGCCTGGGCAAGGTGAGCAGACAAAGTCTTGGCAGAAAGGAAGGAAAGAAGAAAGAGAAAGAAAGGATTTGTTTTTAAATAAGAGCAAAATCAGATCAGCAAATCAACTGAATATGTAAGCTAAGTCTGACCATATATGCAGTACTATATATCCATGGTCCCTAGCCTTTTCAAAGAAGGCAGAGAAATAATCCATTAAATCAATTTTAAAAACCAGATTCAGTTGGGAAAGTTGAGACCTTGGGATGACACCTTGGACTCCTGGGTCACAAGACCCATACTGGTGAGGAACCAGGACACTGCCTGTGTATGCGTGTGGGTGCGAGTACGTGTATTAGACCACTCTGAATTGGAAACAGGGCTAGCTAGGCTGAGGAGCAGCTCACCTGGGGTGAGGCAACTTCCTATTTTAACAGATTATTTTTGCCATATGCTCAGCTCATTTATTTCTACTTGCTGAAGGAGTAGAAATACTGTCAGCACCCTATAAATTTTGGTCCCCAGGAAAAAAATCACAGTAGCCTCACTCTAGTTATTTCACTGCTGACTGGCACAGTTCACATCCCCAAAAGAGTGTGCCTGGAGGATGATATGCAGAGGTAACACTGAGGCAAAGACAGAATATTAGAATGTGTCTACAATTAAGAATGATAGAGGCAAGGATTTATTAGGCCCTGTGCTAAGTACTTTACAAATATTACCTCATTTAGCACAGAAGCAAACACTCTGAAAAAAAGTTTGTCTACCGGCTTCTCTTGTCCAGAAAACAAACAAACCTATAAAAAGTTAAGATTTCTTGAAGAAGGGGAAGGCGGTGTATTTGTGAATGGAAATGATGCTAAACAAAACCATATCTAAAAATTGTTTCACTTGGGGTAAAAACATTTGATCAAGAATTGAGGAAGGCCAGTTGATAAATGTTAAAGGATATAAAGGGAGTTTTCAGAAGAAATCAAAGCTATTTGTAGTCATATGAAAAAAAATGTTCTAAATCACTCCTGATTAGAGAAATGCATATTAAAACAACTCAGATACCACCTAACACTCATCAGATTGGTTAATATGACAGAAAAGGAAAATGAAAAATGTTAGAAGGGATATGGAAAAAATGGGATAGTAATGCATTATTGGTGGAGTTGGAAACTGGTCCAACCATTCTGAAGAACAATTTGGAACTGTACCCAGAGGGTTATAAAAATGCATACCCTTTGACCCAACAATACCATTACTAAGTCCATATCCTAAAGAGATCAAAGAAAAAAGAAAATAACCTGTTAACACAAAAATACTTATAAAAATTTTTTGTGGTGGCAAAGAATTGGGAATTGAGGGAATGCCCATCAATTGGGAAATAGCTGAACAAGTTGTGGCAAATGATTGTGATAGAGTACGATTATGTTATAAAAAACTACAAAGGGGATGGTTTCAAAAAATCCTGGGAAGATCTATATGAATTGATGCAGAGTGAAGTGAGCAGAACAAGATTATTGTACACAGTGACAGCAATACAGATTATCAACTAGGACAGACTTAGCTACTCAGAGCAAAACAGTGATTAAAGATAATTCCTGAAGGACTCATAATGCTGTCCACCTCCAGTGAGAGAATTCATGAACTTTGAGTACAAATTGAAGTATAATTTTTTCACTTATTTTTCTTGCCTTTTTTTTTACGACATGATTAATGTGGAAATGTTTTGCATGATTTCACACATATAATTTATATCATGTTGCTTGCATATACAATGGATAGACGAGGGGATGGAGAGAAGGAAAGAATTTGGAACTCAAAACCCACCACAGTTATCTCTAAAGCTGAAAGAGGACATTATATCTTACATGATAGATAGACATTTATCTATCATATAATATGTATATTCCTTAATGAAATGTGAGCTTAAGCTAAAATTTTTGATTCACAAAACTATAAGAATCAGATACAACAGGTTAGACATGCAACTCTTATTCCGCTTAACAGAAGCTATGAATATACTCCATCTGACATGCATCTTTTTGTACTGAATTACTCACAAAAATTAAGAAATTTAAGGGACTTGAATTCCTTGAAGGAAAACAAACCTTCAGGGAAGAAAACAATCTGTTATTAATTTTCCCCTACTATTTCTGTACAAAGACATTATGGAGTGGTAAAAATTTAAATACATAGTTGGCTAATTTAAATGAATTTGTGGTCTTAATAAGGATTTATTAAATGCCCCTTATAGGCCAAGCACTTAAGTGCCAATGATATGAATACAAAAATTAAATAAATCCTGCCCTCAAGCAACTCACACTTTATCAGAGGGGGAATATGGATGCATATTAGTATATATAAAGTAAATACAGAACACTTTGGGGAAGGAGGAATGAACAGCTGGGAGATCTTGTTTGAGCTGAGCCCTGAAGGAAATGAGTGATTCTAGGGAAATTGGGGAGAGTAGGAGGTCTTTCTATGGTTCTTTTTAGTATTTTGGGAATACCAGTGTAACACTTGGGCTATCTCTTTGTTGTATTTCTCTCTCACTGCGTGACTTGTCCATATCCTTTTCTAGAGTACATATCCCTGCGATAAAGATAAGGATAGGAAACTCCAAGATGAATTAACTCCCTATACCAATGGACGTTGACTCCTTTTTTCTAACATACTGTTTTGGGCAGGGTTTCTTAACCTGAGAACTATGAACTTAAAAAAAACCACAACTTTGATAATTGTATTTCAGTATAGTTTATTTCCTTTTTAATCTTATGTATTTTATTTTCTGCATTGAGAATGTTGTGAGAAGGGATCCATAAGACTTTATTAGATTGCCAAAGAGATCCAGAATTAAAAAAAAGTGTTTAAGAACCCCTGTCTTAGAGAATGGTCCAGAGCTCTGAAAGATTAAGCCTGAAGTCATGCAGCCAGTATGTGTGAAAAATGAGACCTGCATTCAAACGTCCCTGGAAGCTAGGCCAGCTCTCTTCCCCCATAGTACAGTTTTGTTTTTGCTTTTTTTTCCTATTTCTCAGATCCATGCCATCCTTGGTAACATAATACAGGTTATTCACACCCACCATAGATTCTTCCATTGCTTGTCAGGTCACTTGCAATTGTATTAGTATAAAAGTTAGTGTAAAAATATGTTGGCTGTATATAAACATATGAACATTGTTGTATTTTTTTTTTAATTTTGTTTCTTTCAGAGGCAAGTGCAGATTGAATGTTGAAGAGAGTTTGCAATAAGCGGGACTGATGAGCCCACAGAAGGAATGAAGTATGGATGTAAAGGAGCGAAGACCTTATTGCTCCTTGACAAAAAGTAGGCGAGAAAAGGAACAACGGCGTTACACAAATTCTTCAGCTGACAATGAGGAGTGCAGGGTGCCCACCCAGAAGTCTTACAGTTCCAGCGAAACCCTGAAAGCTTTTGATCATGATTCCTCTCGGCTGCTCTATGGGAACAGAGTAAAGGATTTGGTTCACAGAGAAGCCGACGAGTATACCAGGCAAGGTAGGTAGCTTCTCCTACACAGCAACAAGGCACACTCAAATGTTGGTCAATTACGTGTGTTTTTGTGAAATTTCTTTTTGTCCTGGACAAGTATTATCATCCTTTTTCTGATGGGCTCTTGAAAAATTGTCCACTGATGTGGTTTTTTTTTTTTCTTGAGAGCACTAGATACAATGTCAGATAAAAAAAAAAATCAAAAAGTCATCTGTGAGGTATGCATTCCACAGCCCTCTGAAACCTTTCTCAATGCAGAAGCAATGGCGATGCAGTTGACCAAAGTGGAACTCAGTACTTCACATAGACATTTTACACTTGTAGAACTCTCCCAGTAGTTCTAGGGACTTATAGAAATGTCAGTAATTGGTGGGGAAATAGCTGGAGCCTGGGTGTCTCGAAATGAGGGCTCCACGTCTGATGAATATATGTATTAAGTTGTTGGTAGCTGAGCCCTGTCTCCTAAGTAGTAAGTAAACAAGAAAGAATAAGGTAAGTAAAGAAACCCTTCTCCTCTTTTCAATCAATCAGTCAATTAACAAGTATTTGTCAAGTGCTGACTAGGTACAAAGCATTTTGTACTAAAGTCTGGGGATACTAGAGACAAACATGGAACCATTTTTGCCCTCAAGTAGCTTACATTATGTCAAAGTAGAAACTATGACCATACACAAAATGTACGCAAAAATAAATATAATTTAGTGAGAGGGGATCACAAACTGGGGATAGGATTAAGAAATGCCTTACGTAGGAGGTGGCTTTTAAGTTAAACATTGAACAAAATAAATGAATTGACCAGGTGGAAGAGAAGTCTGCTCTATACACCTTTCTCTAAGGAACGTATTCATTTATTTTTTTATAAGAATATATTCATTCATAAAGTAGATCAGTTCTATGTTTGTTCTGCCCAGAATTCTGTAGCAGCAGACAGTGGCATGAAGGGATTTCTTGTGGAAGGTCATGGTTTGAAGTCAACTTCAAAAATCAGCCATGATGGTTCAATCTTTTATAAATTTGTTCTCCTTTTTATAGAGCTGTTTTTGTTTTTCCCTTGCACTTCCTTGTGGTGGTTGGGACTTCCACAACTTTGTTCCCTCCCAGTCTTCCCTTTACTTTTTCTAAATTTTTACTTTTTTTCACTTCTTTCTATTGAGGCTTAAGGTACATCCTCCAAGATGCTGACTGTACACTTTGCAGTGTCTGTAACTGTGTTGATAAGGGCTTCTGTTGCACTTTGATACTCCTCCATGCCTTAAGTACATAGACTAGATAGCCTTCATAAGGTGACTGGACGTGATGGCCCTGGAGATCCCATTCAGGTCTAAATTGACAAGTTTATCAGGATTTTAATGGACAACTCTCTAAAACTCAAAAAGAAAATGGAACTAAATTTTTTCCTCATCAGTAGTTATTCAGGTGTTTTGTTTTGTTTTGTTTTGTTTTAAATCTAAAACCAAGCATGAAGTAGCCAAAAAAGAGTTGGTAAGTGACATTGAATATTTATGAAGTTTGCTAGAAGAATGAATGAAAGGATAGAAAATGTTACCCTCTTTTTAGTTATTATACATTAGTATTATAAGCATTGATTTAAAATAAGTTTTTAAAATGTTAAAAGGTTCTAGAAATTACAAAAATTTCAACAACTCTATGAGCCTTTTCCCCACTGATGCAACATAGTTGTTTCTACAAATGTTTCCCTGAAATCTATTTTCGGCAAAAAATCATTTGATATTTTTGTGGGAACCACTATGGCTACATAATGGCTTATGAGTGATTAGTGGTGCTATTTATTATAAAGAAATAAAGCATTTTAAGATTTCATTTGGCCCTTTTTGTGGGGTATGTGGAGCAGAAATGGAGAAAGGTGCCATTGGTAGAAGAGAAATATCCAATAGCATCTGGCTTTTAATTAAATTGTGCCTTTAAAAGAGAACATTCCCTCCTTCTACAACATTGTGCTCTAGACTTGTCACCATTCAAGTCAGAGCCCACTGTCAACACTGGTTATTTTGAAAGAAAGAATTAGGGTGAGTAGGTGGAAATACATACATTTTGGGCCCAGTATACAATTTCACTTTTCTATAGCAAAAAATAACCGTGTTTATGCCATCTAAAAAGTAACTACACAGGGAACATTGGGAGAACGAAGTTCTAAGCAGCATACAGCACATGTGGTAGTAAAATTATAAAATTTGGAAGGCCCAGCTCCACCCCAAGCAAGCATTCAGCTTTGGCAGAGAATGGCTGCTTAGAAGGGTTAAAAATAGAGAAGTGAAATGTTTACCTCCTGGGCAGTGTTAATACAACCCAGGCTCTTTATGATGACATAGCGATACCATCTGTAGAAATTCTAGGCCTCAAGCTCCCCTTATGGGACCATGCGGTACTATTATCCATTCTGTGTGAGCTACAGCTTGGTAGTTCTTAGGGGTGATCTTAGAGAAGGGGGATTAAACAACGAAGCTTGAGGGGGGGGTGTGAGAAGCAGAAGCAGCCCAGGAAAAGAAAGTTGGAAAATAGCAGAGCTGAAGGAATTGGAAGAAAAGGAAACTAGCACTGCCCCCCCAAAAAAAATTAATAAATTCAGCTGCTTTAATTGAAAAAAAAAAAAGAAAACCATAATTTCCAGAAAATACAGACAAAACTAACTCTATCCAACGGGGAAAATGGGTGATCCAAAATGTGGTAATTACTGTTTGACTTTATGAAGCAAGTGAAAGGGATTTTAGTCAGATTTCTGGGGAATGTGTCACTACATCATAAAAACCAATAAATAGCACGTGTAACACCTTTGCTGTTGATCTAAAAAGACAGACCAAGGACTGAATGAATTCCTTTCTTGCCCTTAGGGTAGTCAAATTAATACTTTTTTAATGGGGCAGTCTGGGAATGCTTATAACTGTACACTCTATTAAGCAAGGAAGTCAGTCTCAAAAACTTAGTCTGACACCTTCACAGACACCCATTTCTCCTTCATTTGGGCTGCGTGTTGTTCTGTGTGCCTTCTTGCACTCCATGATGTTGCTTTTTTTTTTCTTTCCTGATGTTCTGATTGGGGTAGGAAATATAGGAGGGCCATGGAAAAGTGCAGTACGTAAAAGGCCGTGTGTTGTTACACTTAGCACACTGGGTGAAAAACTTCTCGGTCTTTTATTTTCTCAGCATATTTTCTAATTTTCTAAATTTAAATTTCCCTCTACTGGCTATTGTGCTTTCAGATTAATTATATCATGGGCAACACGTCCTTATTGTCGTATATACTTCAGTATTTAAAGGATCCATGATTTCATTGTTCCATTGACATGTAGAGCAACCTCTCCACGCCTTTTACTAAGCAGTTGGTAGCAGTTACTGAAGCCGAAAAAGTATCGTGTGGTGGGCCAGCCACCATGTACACAATAAAAATTAAATACCAGTATTAGTCAAGGATCTAAAAAAAAAAAAACATTACATAGGGTAGTTATGCCTTCTGCCCTGCCTTCTACCTCCTCCCAACTTAATCTCTTGCTTTGGAAATATTAATTAAATCAATATTTATTATTGTTTTTAAAACTGGGAATAGTATGACATTCAGGCACCCATACATACAGTTCCTATAGTAACCTTCTAAATCATGACCCTCTTGTTTGCTACTTGAGAAACCTTGGGCAAATCCCTTGATCTCTCTTGGCCTCATATTCCTCATCTGTAATATGAGAAGTTTGGACTCAATGATGTCTATGGTCCCCTTTTAGCTCTAAATCCACAAGGTCCTGCCCTGCTCACAGCTCTTATATGTATATGTATGTATACATGTATATGTGTATTTTTATATATGTATATGTGCTTACTTGTATGTAAGTGCACATATATATGTATATAAGTATATATATGTATGAGTGTAGAAATATGTGTGTGTAGATATATAGATACATATATATAGATATATAGATATAGATATAGATAGATAGATAGATATTTATCTATCTATCTATCTATATATCTATATATATATAGTCTCCATGCTTTTGTTTGTATATCCTCAATGCTTGGTACATCTTGGGTTTTTTTTTCATTTCATTTTCATTTCATGTTGTTGTTTTTTTTATGTTGTACACATGTACCAATATAAACTAAACTTGATTTTAAACTAAAAAGATGCTTCAGCCCTTAGTTTGATTTAATTGAATAAATGGCTATTATCTATCTGCTGTATATAAGACACTATGGCTAGGTGGTAGAGACTTGTGAAGAGAAGATATATATGTGTGTGTGTGTGTCTGTGTATGAACATATGTATATGTATATCTATACATGCACATACATAAACATACACATGCCTATATATGTGTGTATGTGTGTGTGTGTGTATTTATGTGCACATCCATGTACACATATATGTCTGTGTGTAGTGTGTGTGTGTGTGTGTACATACACACAGATCCTGCCTCTGAGTAGCTTACAATCTAGGTGGACAGATCAGGTCCACAAGTAAGTATAAATACCACTTAGATTATAATAGTGAAACAGAAGTAAAAAGTGCCGTGAGATTTCCAAGGAGAATGAGAAGACAGCTGGAGACCTTGAATGATTTTCGGATTTCCAGCATTTGGAAAGATTTTACTGGGGTTCGGGGCACCCCATTTTAGGAAGAGTATTGCTGAACTGCCCCCAGAAGAGGGCAGTCAGGATTGTGAGTCCTAGAGGAGACCAAGTAGGAAAGACGGCTCTCTTCCGACATCTGAAGAACTAACATATGAAAGGGGGATCACACTTGTTCCACAGAGGGCAGAACTGGGAGCCATGGCAGAAGTTTTAGAAAGATAGAAGTCGAGTCAATGTAAGGAAAAACTTCCTGCCAATTTGCCTCTCCACATTGCAGTGGGCTTCCCTTCCACAGTGAACTAGAAAATAATGGGTTGCCTCTTTCTTAAGGCTAGCAAAGCTTGGCTGACTACTTGCCAGGGTCTGTTCTAAAGGCATTCTAAAGGCAAAGACAGAAGTTGCAATAGATGCCACCTGAGGCT